TCTCTCTCCTCTCTCTCTCCTCTCTCTCCTTTCTCCCTCCTCTCTCTCCTCTCTCTCCTCTTTCTCTCCTCTCTCTCCCCCTCTCACTTTCTCTCTTTCTCTCTCTCACCCTCCTCTCTCTCTCCTCTCTCTCTCCTTTCCTCGCTGTCTCTTTCTCTCTCTCTCTTTCTCTCCCCCCTCTCTCTCCTCTCCCTCTCTCTCCTCTCTCTGTCCTCCCTCTCTCCTCTCTCTCTCCTTTCCTTGCTGTCTCTTTCTCTTTCTCTTTCTCTCCCTCCTCTCTCTCTCCTCTTTTTTCCCTCTCTCTCCTCTCTCTCTCCTCTCTCTCCTCTCTTTCTCCTCTCTCTCTCCTCTCTCTCTCCTCTCTCTCTCTCCCCTCTCTCTTTTTCTCTCTTTCTCTCCCTCCCTCATCTCTCTCTCCTCTCTCTTTCCTCTCTCCCCCCTCTCTCTCTTTCTCTCTCTCTCTCCCCCTCCTCTCTCTCTTTCTCTCTTTCTCTCTGTCTCTCTCTTCCCCTCTCTCTCTCTCCTCTCTCTGTCTCTCTCTCCTCTCTCTCTCCCTCTCCCTCTCTCTCTCTCTCTCCCTCCTCTCTCTCCTTTCTCTCTCCCTCCTCTTTCTCCCCTCTCTCTTCTCTCTCCCCCTCTCTCTCTCCTCTCTCTCCCCCTCTCTCTCCGTGTCTCTCTCTCACCCCCCCCTCTCTCTCTCAGGAAACCTGTGCCGACTGACACAGTTCAACGTGAACAGCTACAACGACAATTCTCTCAGAGGTCGGCAGTACTGGGGAGCCTCCGCACAAGGAGTCGTGACTATGGACTCCGGCACCTCAGAACATGTCAATAGCGTGAACATAACGTACTCCAAAGTGAACAGATGTGGAGAACGTTTCAATATCATCACGTTGTGTGAAGTGGAAATCTACGGAGGTAAGATGATTATCTAATATAAAATTATACTCGTATATCACATTTGTGAAAATTCGCCACTTTTGTCGCCTAAAACTTCCGAACCACTTAACTTTCGAAAATATTAACGCTGGTTCAGAATCATCTACAAGGTGCACAGTTATATTAAGGAGTCTGAAGTCATTGTAGTTTAATTTTCAGTTTTTTATTAGTTTCGTTTTTGGGAAAGTCCGTCTCCAAAGACGCCGTTGTAAACAAGTGAGGCTTCGTTTAACACGCAGTGCGCACTGATTCCACAATGGCTCGACGATTCATTCTTTTGAGACACTACATTCGGCGTAATAGGCCTGGCACATCTTGCTCTCACTGGAAAAACTGACATGACTTGCCGGTCAGTGGTGAGCTGGGAGGTTTTATGGGCTTATTTCTTTTTTGGGATGGGGTGGGGGGGGGTGGGGTAGTAGATGGCGGGTGGTGTAGGTCATAACGATCTCTCTCACGCTCTTGAGACACAGAAAGTGATGTTTACAAACACATTCTTAAGGGGGGGGGGGGGGGCTACACCCCCCAAAGTCAGGATTCGGCTCAAAATTATGGAATTTGAGTTGTAGCCATTTTTAGCTTCCTCAGCCTCTCCTACAAATATTTCATCACATAAGAAAACAGTATTTTTTTCCCATACCGGGCATGTTTGTAACCATCGTTTCCTCATAAAGTCAATGTTTTATTTTTCTTTATCGGCCGTTTTCTCGAAATGCGACTTTCTTCTATACTTTTTTGAATAACTCCACCATTTTTCATCCAATCTTCACGAAATTTTCACAGAATGAAGAGAAGATGTAATACTAAAATTTCGTCTGTTGAAATTTGACATATTAAATAGATTTTTGTTGGTGGTGTCTGGAGTGTGGATTTTCACGGATTTTTTGCAAACGTGAATGCTACTTCAGAAATAAAAATCATTAAAAAATTTCTAATTCGTTTAGGAAAAAAACAACAGACAAATTTTTAGATCTAACGTTTGTTAACACGCATTAAAAAACCCCCAATTAATTTCCATGAGCAATAAGTGCGGTATTCATTACGTAAGACATGTCAACAAAATCCAATATGACCGCCGTATCCATGGAAATGAAACTTTTTTCTCAAATTTGATTGCGGATTTTAAGACTCTTTACTATACTTGTTATATGTGTAAAATTTTGAAAAAATTTGGTTCTGTAATAGGCGAGATAGCCTTCAGGTGTAGCTCTTGCTATGTTTCAATAACAATAATACGCTTCTTGTTTCCAAATGGCCTATGGATGGTTGAAAGGTGTCATCGATACAGCTTAAATGTTATCATTTCTCTCCCGTGTTGTTTCTTTAACTTAGGATTACAAGATTCTATCTGCTCGGCACCTAGTTTTGAGAAATTTGGCGAAAAAAAATTGAGTTTCACAACAGGTCAAGCTTTTTCGAATGCAATTCTTTGAGTTTGAGTATCTTGATAACGACTCTGAATAATCTTACGATTTTCATAGATGAGATAGAGCCTTTTGGTTATGACCACGTGTTCTTAGAAATTTAAAACGGCTAAAAAATGTCATATAGAAGTTTGTGATTCTAAGGCAGCGATTTGTGTCTGCTTATCTTACTTATTCCCAACACTGAAACGCCGTTGTTGGGCTCATCATAATGCTTCTATTTGCTTAAACAAAAACTTAACTCCCACACGGGAATCGAACTCATGTCCTTTGGGTGTGACGGCGAGGAAGCCTAACCTTTAACCAAGTAAGTGTCTTGTGATGAGACCTTTTTAAATACAGCATTTTTAAGCTTAAAAGGCTAATCTCCAAAGATGGGTGGTTGGCGGCTGCTTGGGTGTTGTTTGCACCTTTCTGTGTATAAATCATCTATCTTCCATTTGCTCTCATCCTTTTTCCCTTTGTACGTTACTCTATGGTAACACGAATAGCTGTTATCTTGACTCCTATACAACTTGTTCGTGTTGTGCCGTAAACGTCTTACTAATACTGAACAATTCGGAGTCCAAATTGGTAACCTATAAAATCCGCCTTTTCCGCATGTTCAAGAGAGTTGAAGGAAATTAACACATTTGTTCAACACTATCCTCTGTCCAAAAAATATATCCTGTGATAATGTGTGTGGGTCTGGAAGTTGTGTGTGTGCGCTCGCACGCGCGCGCGTGTGTGTGTATATCTGTGTGTTTTGTTATGGTTTCATAGTGTGCCTTTTTTCTTTATTTGATTTTTCAGTTGACTGATTATTCTGCATTGTACATCGTTTATATAGCCTTCTGGGGATAAGGGGGCATACAATTTTCCATTATTATTATTATTATTAC